GCGCATAATAAAAAATATAAACCGTCAAAACATTATATAATATTATTATCATTTATCGTTCGCCGACGTTGCTCGCGACTATTACAGTCGTTATTTTAACCGATTGCCGCTAATCCATTGTTTGTAGTGAATTTATTATAATATTGTCTTGTAAACATTTTTTGTACGTGGTTATTTTTTAATTTTTTTAAAAACTCGACGACTACATTTAATAAGTATACCTACCTACTTATTAAATACTAGGCGTCTTCAAAATTTACTATTAAAGTTTTAAAAGTTTGTGTTCATCGTTACCTATATTGTGTGCTGGTAATTTGTTCCTGTATTTGGATGTACAACAATTGAAAGTTCAAATCTGTCATCATGTAAGTATACACATATTACATCATATTCATATTCACTTTTATAGTAGGTACATCAGTGGTGCAACTAGGATTTATTCCTGTTAGGAATGGTTCAATAAATTATATTTAAAGGGCCTCGTGTGTCTGCATTAAGGGACAATATTTAGGCAATATTATGCAATTTCGTTTCTGTCGCCAATGGCATTTAAGTTAGTCGTCAATGATGATTAGTGTGAGTGTGCAATTGTGTGTGGGTACCTGCTATCTACGCACGCACTATGTGTGAGCACATGTCAACGGCACCGCCAACCAAAAATAAAAGCATGACTTTTTGCTCAAAACACGCTTTACACGAAAAACCCTCACCCTCACGTATGGTAGAGTGGTCTGATTCGATTATTTTTTTTTTTTGTTAGTTAGATGATAATTTTCTTCAAGGCGCATAGACTTCGATTTTTAATTTCGTTGCTTAAAACTAACATATAGTACAAATAACAAAAGCTTGTGAAAATAGGTCATATTCATATTGAATGGTTTAGAATATAGAATTTTGAAAATCCAAGTCCATCACGCCCAATAAGAAGCGTGTTTGTTTTTTAAAGAAAAAACAATTATCGAAATCGGATCACTCTAAATATTTTGAGCAAAAAAAAACAGGCCCCTTAATTTATATAAAATTAATCAATTTCGAATTTTTATTTGTTTTGAGCTATTTATGAATATTTAAAATTTTCAAGTTTTTTTGCTTATTGTCTATGAATGTTAATATAATGTTTTTCATCAAGTCAAAAAGCTTAAACATTTAATACAAGCAGGTTCCTCATAATAGTTGTAATAGCAGTTGAAAAATATTATCAATCCTAAGGCACAATTCTTTTTAAAATCATTCAAAGTTATGTAATTACCCCTGTAATTACCTAGCTAGGACAATGTTCAATAATATTATATTCTGCTAAACTATGGTTTATTTTGTTAAATATTGTAATATTATTATCTATTGTTTGATTTATATTTAATTTAATTTGTATTAGGTATCTATTATTTCTAATTTCAAAAATGTGTTCTATATAATATTAACAATAGTTTAGATGACTATCTATGAAGAAGACCCTATGTCAGAGTAACTTTAGAAATTACATAAATAAAAAAATAATACTCTATAGTCAGTGGGGGGCTGACTCAGGGGTGCGCACCACTGTAGTACATAATATTATATATTTTATAGCACATTTCATATTAAATGCTTATATTTTAGATTGAACATAACATTTTCAAAATATCAAAACGTTACTATGGACCAAATAAATAAGGAAACAAAGGTAATCCATGATTTGAAATATTTTAAAGTTTTGTATAAATACTTGCCTATTATTATAGTTTTTGATAAAAACTCAAAACTTATTACCTATAATATTTCTATCAGCATCTATAGATTGTAACTAATATTATTTATATATAGTAAGAAATATTTTATATATTTTATATGTATTAGTTATTGCATCGATATATTATATATTTTGATTTTACTGACATGTATCATTTTGGTTTTTTTGTATAAATTATGTTATTTGTTAATTTTTGTTATAATATTATTTCAGTATATAATAGGATTTTTCGAATCAGAAAATAAATACTCGATAATTCCAATTAATTGGTTAAAAAAAGGTAAAAGTAATAACTTAAAATGTTTATGGCCTGATTACCGAGTAACTTCCATGATAATTATGAAAGGTGCCAAGCCCTCTTACAAATGGACTACTCACACAGTAAAGCTTATTAGTCAGTTTGGTAAATAATTCATTTTAATAATTGATTAACTTATTTTTAAATTTATAATTTTATCAATATAAACTTGTAACTTGTAAGTCCTTAATTGGTACGTATTAGTTTATATTTATGATTTACAATAATTAGTCTCATACCAAGATGCTGCTTCAAAAGAATTAGAATTGTTCCTGACATCAGAAGCTGAATCGCAAAGTGAAAACGTTGAAGATTTACCAAACAATGATAATGATAGTAAGTTTAATTTAATATCTTAAAACCTATCTATAGATTATTAAAATTTTAGTTTTTTCAATGGAACCATATTTCAGTATGTTTAAGTTGGGCCTAAGTATTGTAATTTTTTCCCTGGGCCTCTGAGGAAATATTAAAATTAGGTGGGTATGAGCAATGATTTGCACCCCATGCTTCCCCCAAATGGCACCCAAAATTTTTAGGATTCCTTTTATTAATCAGAGTGATTGTATTACTTTTCTTAATAATATTATGTATTTTTTATTTTTTCAAGGTACTAGCAGCGACGATGAAAGTCTTCAAATATTAAAAAAAAAAAAACCAAATGAAAATCAACTAATTCTGACAAACAACACTGAATGTGCAGCTGAATGCTCGGTATCATGTATGTACAATTCAATTTTTTTCCATTACCTACCTATTTTGTATATAATTTTATATAATGTTCCAATGTATGTTTTCCTTTATAATTTGTTTAAATTTTCTGTTAGCTCCATTGAAAACAATGTATGACATGGACGCCAATTCTGTGATTGACAGTAATAATATGTATAACTTTCCTTGTGAGTTGTTGAATAATTATAATTCTTAGAATATTCTGTTATACTTATATATTATTATATATTATTATATTGAATTAATGATTATAATTTGTGTTTAGCCGTTTCAAATTCTTTGGTTGATACTAGAAATGAATTAAACACAATTATTGATACAACAGGTATTTAAATCTGATTCATCCTATATTGTATTTTTTGGATTTATTAATCAGTGTTATTTGTCAATCAATGATTATTTTATATTTTATTTTTAATTTCAGTTACAAAGAGTTTTACGCCAAACTTTAATTTATTAAACATTCCTACAGGTAATATAATATCATGTAATATATTATATATTATATAGGTAAATAAATTAAACTTTTTATTTTAAAAACAATGTATTTATGTATGTGTAACATAATTGTGTAGGTACAATTTATGAAATGTTATAGTATTATACATTTAAGATTATAGTTTTTAATTTATATAGTATAGGTATTTAAAGTCTTAGAATATACAGTAATACTAAAATATAATATAATAATACATTTAATATTTTATTATAATTAATAATTTTTGTTTAGTTGCTTCAAATTCTACTTCTATGTTGAATACAAGAACTGAATTGAATACAAATGATACAACAGGTATTTAAATCTGATCCTATTAAATTTTTTTGGATTTATTAATCAATGTTATTGGTCGATCTATGATTATTTTATGTTTTATTTTTAATTTCAGGTACAAAGAGTTTTGAGTCAAACTTTGATTTATTAAACATTCCTGCAGGTAATAAATTATGTAATATATATTATGTATAGGTATATAAATTAAACTTATTCTTTTGAAAACAACGTATTTGTAACACTGTGTACAATTAAAGAAATGCATAGTATTACTATGGTATTACCTATAAAGTCTTAATTTATATATAGTATATTAAAGTTGCGTTTAACATATACCCTTGTACTTTTAATTATTTTTTTAAAAGATTTTTATGATTTAGAATTGGAGAATCATGGATTAGACTCTGGTAAAATGGATCAATTACTTAATATAACAAACATGTTTTTTACTAGAATCGACAAAAAATTAGATATTGTGATAGACTACATAAAAAGAAATCCTAATTCAAATATCCAAGCTTCTTCTTTAGATTCTACATTCTTAAGCTATTTCCCTATGAATGATGTAGAATCCCTTATCAATATGGATACTTTGTTAAAAAATGATGAGAACATTTCAAAATTGGTAAACACATTTACTTGGTTATATATAATTCGTTTTTTATTACTGTAAATTGAATTTCAGAATAATTTCATTAATTCTATTGGTGGCTCTGATACCAAACAGTACATCAAAAGAGTGCTTCCAAGATTGTTTTCAAATAAACTGGCTACATTATGCTCTTGGACGGGCCAAAAGAATAATTTTAGATTAGTTGATCATCAAATAATAAAAGCCATGAAAAGTATGATATTACAATTTTTAAAAACTATATCAATTTAAATATACTTGTTAATTGTGTTCTTAGAAACTTCATTTGAATTATACCAAAACGATGAACATACATTTGAGAAAGTGGTTAAAGACTGGTTTAGGCATGGTGCTCAACGCCTGAAGAATGAAAAAATGGCTTCAGGTATGTTAAACTTTGGCTTTGTTTCCTGTTTTTAAATTCAGTCCATTGCTTCTCATTTTCCAACATAACTGCCACAAAAATTCTGTAACTATTTTATCAAATTATAAGAAAACAATATTGTTGCTGATAGAAATGTTATGAACTAATAAACTTTTACTGTAAATATTATTACTAAAAAGGTCTTAATACATATTACGTTAAACAATTGTAAAAACATAAATTTATTGTTGTATCTAAATATTACAGACTTACCTACCTAATTATTTATGAATATTTAATGTTTATCTTGTATAGATTCCTCGCAAAAAACGCAAAACGATTGAAAATATGTCTCTTCGACATTTCAAACGACTGAACTGTTCTACTTCTACTGCTACAAATATTACAAACACATCAGAAAAAGAAGTATGTATAATAAAAACTGGTTCAAATACTGATAATGATATTAACAATATGAAGACATCCGAAACAGCTGTTGAAAACTGTTGCTACAATAATTTTGTTTCTGATAATACTGTACCTGATAATCCTATACCTCACGATCAAACTAATTTACCACAAGAGATAGGACTGGAAATAGATACATTTACTGATACGTTAGGATCAAACAATATGAATTATACTACATGTAATAAACTTAGCGTTAAAGATAAACTGCAACAGTGGGTGTTAGCTTTCAATGTTTCAAAAAACGGTGTAAATAGTTTGTTAAATATATTAAGGTCTGAGGGATTAAATTTACCAAAAGATGTTAGGACATTGATGCATACTCCAAGGTCCCATGATATAATTAGTATGAACCCTGGAAGTTATATTCATTTAGGTTTAAAAAAAATTCTATTGACTGTATTACAATTTAATGAAAGTTACTTAAAAAACATAAATGAAATATTTTTAAGTTTTAATATTGATGGATTGCCTTTAGCTAATAGTTCCAAACAACAATTTTGGCCTATACTTTGTTCAATAATAAATGTGCCTCATTTATCTAAATTTGTTTTTACTGTTGGTTTGTACTTTAGTACTGACAAAAAGCCAGATTCTATAGAGGAATTTTTAAATTTGTTTATAAATGAATTGTTAGATTTGATTAATAATGGAATTATTGTTGATGGTAGGATAATGAGAATATGTATGAAACAAGTGGTATGTGATTCTCCGGCTAAAGCGTTTTTGCTTAACGTTAAAGGCCATAATTCTCGTGTAGGGTGTAATACGTGCACAGTAGAGGGTGAATATAGAGAGCATAGAATGTCGTTTTTGGAAGTGAATGCTTCATTGCGTACTGACAGAGGTTTTAGAACTAGAAATGATGACGAATATCATAAAGGCAATACCCCTCTAGAGCGTTTGCCAATTGATATGATCAAAGCAGTACCCATTGACTACATGCATGCTGTTTGTCTTGGAACAATGAAACGTATGTTAAAATTTTGGGTGCGAGGAAAACAATCTGTAAGAATACCTAATGAAAAAATATATGATGCTGATAAAGAATTAATCAGTTTAAGACAATACTTCCCATCAGAATTTGTTAGACTTCCAAGGTCTTTAAATGATATCGAATATTGGAAGGCAAATGAATTTAGAACTTTTTTATTATATAGTGGTCCAATTGTACTAAAAGGAAGACTGAGAAAAACATTTTATTTACATTTTCTTAAATTATACTGTGCTATAAAAATTTTGGTAACACCAGTTCTATGCATAGCAAAAAATGAAGTTGCATATAACTTACTAATTGATTTTGTAGCCGAATTTAAAACTAATTATGGGGCACAATTTATCACTCATAATATTCATAGCTTAATTCACCTACCATTTTATGTTAAGACACATGGATGTCTGGATAATTTTAGCGCTTTTAAATACGAAAGTTACTTAGGAATAATAAAAAAAAGTATTTCACATTCACGTTTTCCTTTACAAGAAGCGGTTAATAGGATTCAAGAAAAAACAAACATTTTGTACAATAATAATCATGATGATAATGCTAATTTAGATGAAACTCATGTATTGAGTAATGAATGTGATGTAGATAATGTAACTTTAAATAAAAATCATGAGTTTACTTTTTTTCAAACTATAAAACTTAGCAGTTCAAACTACATTATTTCAACTCACGTTTCCAAAAATAATTATATTATGTTAAATACTAATGACATTGCAATTGTCAAAAATATCTTTAAGTGTATAAATGGAAATATTTTTTTAAATGTATATACTTTTAAATCATTAAATTTTTTTGAGGTACCATTGGAATCATCTATGATAGGCTCTGTTATTGTTGATATTAAGTCTCAGTCATCTAGTTTAATACGTATCAGTGTTAACGACATAAAATTTAAATGTTTTTTTGTTCCTTTGACAACTGAGAAAGCTGTTGTAATGACTCTAAGTCATAATGAAATAATTTAGTAAATAATTATAAATTGATATAAGATGTCACAAAATTGATCTATATTTAAATTTTTTTTTTTTTTGATAGGTGGAATGTAGAAATAGACTCGGTGCACTCTCATTTTATTATTATTAGGTATAAGATTTGTAAGACAAAGTATACGTCATATTGTTATAATTTTTTTTATTATTATACAATATATATTTTATAAATTTAAAGATAGATTTTTTTTTTATTTATATGATGTATAAAATTGTATAATATGCATTATTACCTAAGTATATTCTATTTTTTTTTATTATTATACATTTATTATAACAAATAAAACTTTTTTTTTTCATATTATGAAGTATACAATTGTTCAATATTATTAAGTTTATAATAATTTTTTTACTTTACCTTTCTTTATTAAGTAAAGAGGGTTTTTTTTTATTTTTATTATGATCTACCTATACTTTATACTGCAGTTTTATAATATACATTATTTAGTATATTATAATTTTTTGTTATTCATTTATTTTATCAAATACCTAAAGCTGCTTTTTTATATTTATATTTATATTATAATGTATACAGTTGTATAATATACATCAATAATTAAGTATATTATAATTTTTTTTATTATTATCTAGTAAAGAGATTTTTTTTGTATTAAGCAATATTAATACATTATAATTTTTTTATGTAATTTTTATTATTAATATATATTTATTAAAATGTATGAATTAAATGTTATCATTTATTATGTAAGCTATGTTAATAAATAAACATGTTTTTTACTATTATTTGAAGTTTAATATTAATTGTTATTATAATAAAAAGTATGACCAGTTAATGATGTCATTGGTTCATAATTCTACAGTAATAGTAGTATATAATTATAATATACCTACTATATTACATTGTATTATATTATAATATTATATAGGTATTGTATTTTATCAGTCTCATAAGCTGAAAACATTTTTTTCTTTTAGGAGGTGGCATTTAATTTTTTTTCTATTTTTAAGTAGAGCTTGTGTAAACCTGTTACATTATGATCCCAATAATGTTCATAAAAAAATTTGAAGGGGCATTTGCCCCAAAGTCCCCCCTGCCTATGGTGTATTCCCCTAACATTAATAACATTCATGCTATGTTATTGAAATAACTTCCTAGAGAGGTAATATAATAGGCAAAATGGATGTCTTATGGTTGTTCAAATTGAACATGATTTAGATGTTTAAAAATACACATATTATAGAAGTTACACTAGACATCCTACAGATATCGCATAATGCAGTCTTATAAACGTTATAACCTAACTTCTTATAAATATACTTTTTAAAAAGTTGCTCAACCTGGCATTAGCAATCCCATTAACATCATTATGACATCAATATGCATTAGTTAATAACATCGCAAATCCTCAATACATGTTCATGGGATGTTCTTGGTACTGCATATGGCACAGTGGGTGATTACAACTAAATTAAAAAATGAAAAAAAAATTAACATTAACATTTAAATAAAATATAAATCATACCTACTAATTATTTATGAAAATAGGTGTATAAATTACAAAAAAAAAACATATTAATAATTTTTTTTAGACGATATTTGACATCTCTTTTCTCCCACCAACTTTTCAATTTCGGGAGACATATTATTTGACGAAGCCACTTTTAATACTGCATTTAGATGTGTGTCGGTTAATCTGGATCTTACGGGTGATTTATTACTGTTCATTAATGGAAAAAGTTGCTCGCATTGATAAGTACTACTAAACATAGAAATAATTTTACTTGCAAATCTACGAATTTCTACATAACGTGTTGGCACAAAACTGTAAAAATCAGGAACACCAACATCATTGAATTTATTTTTTAAATTTGAATCATTTTGAATCTCGATCAATTCCATTTGTATATGTGTTGAAACATTTACTGCATCTATTGAAAAAGGAGAGGTAAATAAGGTACTTCTGTAAAGTATGGTAAACCTGAATACTCGCTTTCTAAATCGTTTAAACAAATCGAAAATTGTCTTTGGTTCAAACCACGGGATCTTATAAAATTGACCATTTGTTTTACAGGTCTTATTACATGTGCCATATTTATAACTTTTGTACATAACACCTTTTGGTGTATAATACAATGTGTCCTATGAAATTTATGCTCAACATATTCATTCGCTTTTTTTTGCAATCTTTCAACGAATCCTTTATTTTTCCCCGTCATAGAAGGAGCTCCTCCATCTGTAGCTACAGATGACAACTTTTCCAAAGGTAAATCATTATTACATTATACATTATACATTGGAAGAGGCTCGTGGGTCGCAAACTGACGATATAAATTATTAATCTATAATGTATATAGATATAAATAAGTATATATAAACCATCAATAATCCTTATTCGATAATAGTTTATCAGAAGATAAGACAGTATAATAATGTATACAAAATAAACCATTCTGACATTCTTAACACAAATAATATTATTAAAAATAAATAAATATTTTTTCCATTATTATTGGTAGCCGAGGGCCATAAAAAAATGAGCCGCGGGCCGCGTGTTTGACATGCCTGATGTACATGATCAAATGCAATTAACGTACAACTCGCGTTATCGGGTTATTGGTTAACCCGAAAAATAAAAATAAAATAGGTATTTAATCTCATTTAATTTTCCTTAAATATTATACTATATTGTATAACACTACAAGGCTTACACAATTACAGACATAGATTAGATATCTGATAAGAAGATAGGCTATTAGAAAAAAAGGTCCAACCCGGAGAGGTGCTGAAAAAGGGATTTTGAGATATACGATGAACATTTTCGTCATGAATGGTTGCTATTGGTTTTAACTCATAATAATACAAATTGTTATTAATTCTATGAGTCTGTTGGCAAGCTGGCACTTCCATGTATTTTAGTACAGAATATCTCAAGTTTCAACCACTGTTTCGTTGACTAATTCGTTGCATTGTATTTTTCCTTTTTAAATGTTTTTTGTTCTTTATATCTATACATACGAATGTTTGTTTTTTTATACCGACATCGGATTTGAGTACTGTTTGGTTAGGTTAGGATTTCGTGTTAATTGATTGTATTCATCCGCCGTAGGTTTAATCAAGTAAAAATGACAATCGTCAAACTTGGTATAACTTTGATACTTTAGAGTTAAATTGTAAACACTTACGTGCAAACCACACAGGCTCCGCGATCTACCACAGGTAGATAGCCTATCTGATAATATATTGATCGCATGATCACAAGTGAATCTCACGGACAATGCTGGTTGGGATGGGATGGCTATACATTAAAATATAACATAATTTACACTTAAAAATACATTGCTTCCACAGTGTGAAGTCACGCCCGAAAAGAGTGAAAGAATCAGAATTTTTTCAGGGCGATTCCGGGAAATTCAGCTAGTATACTATTTTATAACATAATATACTCGCATTAGTCATTAAACTCGAGTGGGCTGTTTTAATATCAATTACTATCATATTATTATTTTATTAAATTATTGTTGTTTGGTATAAATGTATAAGTAAATTGTTAACGATCGCCGTGTTGCTCGAAATATTCCACTTTAAAGAAAATGTACAAATTATAAATATGTATTAATGAGTAACCATTAATTGTGCATACTTACCTAGTGGTAATTAGGTAATTTTTACGTTTTATTCGTTTCTATACGATGATAAATAAACCGTTTGAAAAAAATCGGTTGGGAAAATAAAATATCTGTACCCAGCCCGGAGACATATTATTTCTACGTCAAAAGAAAAAAATACATGCCTACATTATGTCATTGTAAGAAGTAGTGATGGTCAAACCAAGACCAAGACCAAGACTATGGCAGTCTTGGTCTTGGTCTTGGTCTTGCAGAGCCGTTTATAGTCTTGGTCTTGGTCTTGCACCCCAAGTCTTGGTCTTGCTGCAAGACTCTTGCAATATTAAAAAAAAATGTTTTTTCCCTATTTATGCTATGAGTTTGTAGAATTTGTTAATTGTTTATTATCTATAAGATATAATTATATTAGTCCATAGTTATATCAGTTATATATATATAGAGAGAGAGAGAGAGCTTATCTTATATATAAAATTCTAATATAACAGTTATTTCATTTTGCAGTTTTTTTAAAAAAAATATTATGTTTATTGTTTTCATAATAATAATACACGTTTTATAAATGTATTTTGTAAGTTTCTATTCAATCAAGTCACTAGTCAATCTAGATTGTGCAGCTATGTGATCTCTTGGATCAAATCTGCAAGCCAACACTCGACAAAAAATATTTATATGATGTTTAATGTTTATTAATTAATAAAAATAAATATTTCCAATACACCATTAAATTATAATCTAAAAATCTTATTAAAATTTATAAAAATTAAATTTTTTAGTAAGTTGTTACTTGGTTGAATATTTATCTAACCAGATAACAAATATATAGTAAATAATTATCAATTTATTATGGTTAATTTAAAAAGAATATTACATTTTTCAAAAGTTATAGGTACATCAAATGAAATTTTTTATTATTATGTTTTTATTATATTCCTAATAAATTATTTCTTTTAACCTACACTAAATGACGTGGTTTTCTGGGAAAATTAAAAAAAAAAAAATTACAATAAATATTGCAAGACTGCAAGACTCTTGCAGTGTGGGTCTTGTTTTGGTCTTGGACTTGCAGGCTCAGTATTGGTCGTGGTCTTGGTCTTGCTGCAAGACCAAGACCAAGACTGCAAGACCAAGACTTTTTTGCCCATCACTAGTAAGAAGTATAATCTGAACGCCGGTGAAACGTTTCGATTAAAGGCGATAAAATTCTATTATTATCTTGTGTACATAGGTGGACGACAAAAATCCTTGTACCTCGTAGGAATTAAAAACCGTAAATATTTTAACCCAAATTTAGTGCCTTAAATTATATTTCAAAACAATACGACCGCGAAACGCTGACATTCACGACGAAGTTGGTATATTTTGAGTTCGATTCAATACGCTCAGGGATATTGTGAGTGGTTATTCAAAGGTCTCGTCGACAAACACGAAATGCATTCGATCTTTATCACACCGGCGACAACTCTAAAGGGTGTCGACGACACGAGATGACAATATTAAATGACCGTTTCTAGTGCAAATGTACACGCGAATAATGCGCATAATATTTGCACTCTCCTACATATATATTTAAGAGCGATCGAGCCGTTTTATGATTATCCGCATATTATTTAATTATTTTATTATTAAGAGTTATTTTAATTTAATTTTTAAGAGTATACTTTGACGCCGTGGCATTTCGGTTTATAATATTATCTATGTATATCGTTATTAGTGCTATTATAATGTAGTAGCTGTTCACTATAGGTATAAGTACATTATTGTTTGTTTTTTGTTTTCGGTGTAGGTTACCAGTTGAAATAATGATTGGTACAACTGAAAAGGTCATGATATGATTGGGAATGGAAAATGTATTCCTAAGAAAATCTATGTAAATACCCGATTAAAAAATTGCATAAGTGCACTGAAAAACTATAGTTACGACGAAAACATACAAAATTGTTTTAATTTTTAACTGCCATAGTTTTAAAGATGCTCTTAAAATTCGAAAACTAACTCACTTTGAAAAAAAAAAAAAGTTACTTCTTATGGCCGTAGACCGATTATAATAATAAAAAAATAAAAATTAAAATTAAATGAGTGTCAAAAGTATTCAAACTATATACCAATAAGTATGTATAGTACTATAGCAGTGGAGGGGTACTACATAAAAAAGAGCAGTGCTGGTGAGAGGAAGACCTACACTAAAAGTTCATATTTATACAATCCACCACTCTCGCCTACAGAAATGTGGTCAGCTGTGTCGTTAATACAAGATTTGCCTGAAACGGAAAATGGCACGAAAAAATAAATATAATATAATATCGCCTCACCCGGTTAGGAATATATTATAACTTTATAAACATGCGTTGTACGCGACGACGGTCGTCTTAATTGTTTTTGTTGTTAACATAACACAAATTCGTACAAAGCAATAATATTATAAACGTTTTCAACCAAATTATCATTTTTTACTGTAAACTTTATTTTAATGTTAAATCAAATTTTATTATTTTTAATAACGTACCTATATTGATTTTAAAATTTAAAAAAAAAATACAACGTTTATAAAAAATGAGGAACGTTTGTTTAATAATAAAATTAGATATTTTTAATTAAAAAATTCATCGTAATATGATGAATTTTTTAATTAAATATATTATCGAATATATTTCGAGGATATAATTATGTTATAATTTTATAGTACCTACACAAAACTTTTCTAACATAATAATAATATGCCAATTCAAACAGCGCATACATCCTAACGTATTAATATGACATTCGGACAAAATCATTTTCAAAATGGCACTAACCCTCAGTCTATTTTATTTTTTTCGCCCCAAATTTTGAGACAATATCGTGGGCTGAGAGTAAAAAGGTTCTATGTCAAAATATCTAACTTTTCAGGAGAGCATTTTTAAGGTTTGTTATCAAATATATTTTTATCGCATATAGGGATAATTGTTTATAATTGATATCAAAAAATCAAACATGTTTTCTTTAACAATATTACATGAAAATATAGCATCTCACTATTTTAGTTAGTTCTTAAAAAATAAAAAACCACAAAAAAACAGTTTGGAGTAAAAAGGTTCTATACATACGCTAAAATTTTTTTTATTTAATAGATAGAACCTATTTACCCTATAGCAGATTACACAATTTTGACCAGTCAGGCAAACAATATTTTTTTTAACTTATAAGATACTGAGCTACGTAATTTTAAGAATAATTTGTGTGTATTATTTTTTATTTAAAAGTTTCTTTATATCTTTGAAACAAATTAGTATAAAA